AATTAATTAATTAATTAATAATTTCTTCCATGATGTTTATGTGGTACTAGCAAAACAGAATGTGGTTTCCTGAAAACAGGCCTTTTCTTTTTAGGCTATCTTAATTGTATACTGAATACACATAAACATATCTAGCATACTTTAATGTTTCTGATTTGGGGTTTAAATTAAGGTTTAAATATTCTCAAGGGCTTTTTTCATAAAGATTTTTCACATCAAACACATTACCTTTGGTGTGATATTAATAATGTTCCAAGCAATAAGATTGAAGAGGAAATAATTATTGGCACAATTACATATAGACCTGCATCATTCTGGCGTTTTTCAATATCATCTGAAAAAGACATACAATTCACACAATTCGGAAGCTTGAGAAAATAATGACATCTTTCTGTATCAATAATTACAATAGACTTTTTTTCTGATTTTATCATAAATCTGTATTACTTTAAAGATATAAATATAAAAATAAGAAAAAGATAAACTATAATTATGGTCACATTAATAAAATTATTATTTTGTTCAGAATTATGTTTACTGTAATTTAGCAAAACATTTTTTCAAAATTATTTCTTTGCCAATTCCATTTGATCACCTTAGGTTATATAAGTCAAAGTACCAATTAAAGTTCTGATGACTCTGTCTCAGCATCTGCTTCTAGAGAAGCCTACTTACAACACCTGCCAATGTCTACCTTGTTCACTACGCACATTGACCTTGCTTTTCTTGAGCTACCAAATATACTTGCTCTTCAGAAAGTTTTCACTTGCTAACCTTTGCCTGAAATGTCTTCTTTTGTACTTGTAGGTCTTGACTTAAATGTCATCTGCGCAGAGAAAAAGACCAATTCTGGGCATCCTAACTAAAGCAGCACTTTTTTTTTAAATGTTTATTTATTTTTGAGAAAGAGAGAGAGAATGTGTGAGCAGGGAAGGGACAGAGAGACAGGGAGACAGAGGATCCGAATTGGGCTCTGCGCTGACAGCAGAGAACCCTACACAGAGCGCACACTCACAAGCCATGAGAACATGACCTCAGCTGAAGCCAGACGCTTACCCTACTGAGAACCCCCCCCCGCAACAAGGAGCCCCTAAAGAACCACACTTTAACTCATCTTACTCTTATTTTGCTTCATGGCACTTACTTCTATCTGCTGTTATATTATACATGATTTGTTTACTGTCATTCCCATTAGAGCACTGGGGTTTAAGCTCCATGAGTACAGAGACTGATGTTTACTGTTCAATCCCCAGTTCTTGTGACCAACATGTATTTGTCAAATAATGAATGAATTTTTGTAATTATTTTAATTCTGAAACCAGGCAAAATATTTCTCTTCAACTTCATCATTAGGTTGCTTCGATTTGAAGACAATGTGAACAGTAATAGCAAAATCAAAATGTTAATACTCCAACCATGGTAAGATGAATCAGAAATTTAAGAGGAACAGTGAATTTATTTCTATAACTACCTTTCTAGTTTTATTTTTAGGGAACAAAATGTTTCCTTTAAAAGACTGATTAAAATTTAAAGGCTCATAAGTATATACCCCCAAACATATTACTTGGGGTAGATACATTTATATGAATTGTACAGAAAAGTCCTATTTTTCCAAGTAGTCTTTCTGATGATGTATTTTATTGTACAGCTGCATATCTCCCTTTATTTTGTTTCCATTAACTTTTTATCCAATTTGAGACTGAAAAATTTAATTTCCAATACGAGAATACAATACCATGCTTGGCTGTTCTCCTTCTTACTACCACCAGGGAACCATACACTCCTACTGCAATCACTCCCTGACACATCTATGTAAGACTCTGGCCTCTTCCATGACTTCATCAAAAAGAATATAATCAGATGGCAATATAACTGCTAACTGAGTAGGAAACCACACATCTGTGTGAAAAGAAACCAAAAGGAAAAAATTTACCTGGGGTAAAACTATTAATTATCTTCGGTTTCCCCACTCCTTCCATAAATACTGGGTAAAGACTGAATTGATACTTCTCGATGGGGATAAAATGATCTGAGGAGAAAAATTTATTGAAGGGTCATTCCTACTGAATTAATATTAATGATTAAAACTTATATAAAAAAATTTTAGGTGACTCTCCTATATTTCCACACCTAGAAATTTAGTTATTTATGGATCGAAACTGATGACTAAGCAAGTTTCGAAAATAACCTAAGCATTCCAAATTCTCCTAGTAATGACAATACTTTGTAACTAATTTTTGAAAATATTACCCAGAGACAGAAGATTGCAATTCCAAAAGCACGTTCCAATGATTACCAATTAGTTCAAGCTCATAGGATATGAGCTTCCAGTTTCCCTTTCTAGGACAATATGCCCTACCTCCTCTCCCATATCCCCAAAGCTAGCAACATTCCTCTTTAATATGCATTTAATTTACTTAGTTTCCCTATTCAAGGCAGCTGTGAGACTAAAGTCTTATGAAATGCAAAGTAGGGGCAGGGACCAGGATTCCCCTTGCTTATCCAGCCCCCCACCCCACCCCCCATCAAGGGAACAACGATCTGTATAACAAAGCTCAAAACAAATCTATCAGTGATGTATCATTTTTACAAATGTTGATAATATATAAATATTCCACAAGGGATCAATCTCTTTGAAGCCTAAATTATATATTCCCATAATTTAAATAAAAGCACAGAAAATAATCATCTGGACCACAGTGGTAATGAACTGAATTTAGTTCTCTATCAATCGTTTCTATGTGCCCTGATGCTAGGGTCTTTGGAATGCAACTGAAGTATAAGTCTCTGGAGTGATACTGTATTGTCGGATCATGGTAATCATTAGCTTCCCTACTTCAACCCTACTCAGACTTGGAGATACTGTATTATGCAGTTTAATCACCTCCTGGGGCAACTGGTCCAATCTGGGGAGTTTATATTGCCTACATCACCAAGTCCTACATTTTTAGACCTTCAGTCTGGCATTCCCACTCTCCACTAGTGGTATTATATGTTGGTACACATATTTGGGAAAACAATTTGGTGGTAGATAGTAAAAGCCATTAAAAAATAGTCTAGAAAAAAAAAGGTAAAGCTAGAAGCAACATAAATGTTCTCAAAAAAATAAATGGTTTAAGTAGACTTTAGAATAAGATGCTATATGATCATTAAAAATATGGTTAAAAGGATTGGGGAGAAAAGAGAAACATGCTTGTGATATATCAAAGGAACAAATCAGAAAAAAAGTTGATAGATGATATGATTACAACTGTGTAAAATATTTTAAAAGGATCAAATGAAATAGAATTGAATGTTTATGATAAAGGGATAGAATTATATGTAGTAAGATGGCAGTATCATCTATATTTTTTAAGTTTTCATTAACTGGCTATGTTATTTGAATTAATAATCACTCTCCTACTACTCCATAAGAGAAACTTATTAAAGTACAGCAAACTTACCATGAATATAATACTTCTTAACGGATGAAGGGATTCTAAGCCATTTAGTTTCACTGTCTTCATTAAGAATTTTCCACTCAGTAATAAAATACATCAGAGAGTAATCACTGGGTGATAATATCCAGGAAAGAAACACACAACTGCTGTTTAAAGGATAAGCACTGAGTGACTGCACGGTATTTACTGAGGGGAAAAGAAGGAAATTTGTTTTTAAATTCAAAATTAATGTAAAAAATCAAATACCCTCAAGGCACATATAACCTATTAGACAAAAGGAGAAGGAAGAGAAGGCTGACATTTATATAAATAAATATAATACAATTATTTTTGTACCACAGAGTCATGTATGCAGAAAGATGTGGGAATATATGCTATTGAGGAGAAACCAAAAACGGGATTTTGGATAGAGTCAAGGAAGTTGCTCGCCACTGGAATACTGCCCAAGCTTATTAATCATCCCCTCTACTTCTCTCCAAACTCTTCTCTCCTGCTGATGGAGTTGTGCTTTCAAAGAACAAATCTGATCATTTGTCTCCTCACAGAGTCTCACTTAAAAGCCTCCACTGGAGGGGTGCCTGGGTAGCTCAGTGAGTTGAGCATCCGACTCTTGATCTCAGCTCAGGTCTTGATCTCAGGGTTGTGAGTTCAAGCCCCACAATGGACTCTGTGCTGGGCATGAAGCCTACTTAAAAAAAAAAAAAGCCTCCACTGTATTTCCATATGTGAGGATAAAATTCCTTCATGTCCTCTCCTATGCCACAAGGACTTTCGGTCAGACTCTTCCTCTCTCAAGAGCCAATGCTCTTTTGGGGAAGTTTCATTCCTATACTGCTTGCTTAAGAAAGCCTCTCTAAACCTCAATACCAAGTCAGGTTCCTATTTTATTTTCTTTTATAAAATTATATTCCTCTCCTGGGAACATTTATCTCAGTTTGTAAATAAGCATCAACTTGTATGATTATTTGATTATTTGTTAATTAAATAATCAAAAAGTTGATTTGGCTCTGTGGATACTGAGACCATTTATAGTTTTTCTCACATTGGAGTTCCCACCACTTAACACAGTGCAGCATTCAATACATATTTCTAGAACATCTTGATGGAAAATATTTTTAGTGTAAAACATTGTGTAGATGCTATGGAACTTACAAGAAGCTTACACTATACGTACAAAACTAATCATTAATATAAGGCAAGATATAAAATACCTTAAGAAAGGTAGGAAGCACCCCAATTTAGGACATACCTAATCAAAGCAATAAGCAAAGACTTCATGGAAGAGATTAGTAGAGATACAAGAGATTTGAATTTTCCATTAAAAAGTTACACTTTGAATATGTAATGCAGATTGGAAACTCCTATTAAGGCAGTTCTCAATTCTCTAATCAAATATATCAAAATTAATTAAAGAAGGTTCATCACTTTTTTAAAAAGTTATTTATTTATTTTGAGAGAGAGCATGGAAGAGGAGCAGAGAAAAAGGAAGAGAGAGAGAATCCCAGGCCCCATGCATCAGGCTCCAGGGCTTGAACTCATGAACTGTGAGCCAAAACAAAGAGTTGGATGCTTAACTGACTGAGCCACCACAGAGCCCCAGTTCATCACTTGTATTAAATGAAGAACAGGGGTGCCTGGGTGGCTCAGTCAGTTAAGCGGCTGACTTTGGCTCAGGTCATGATCTCGCGGTCCGTGAGTTCGAGCCCCGCGTTGGGCTCTGTGCTGACAGCTCAGAGCCTGGAGCCTGTTTCAGATTCTGTGTCTCCCTCTCTCTGACCCTCCCCCATTCATGCTTTGTCTCTCTCTGTCTCAAAAATAAATAAAAATGTTAAAAAAATTTTTTTAATGAAGAACAGATTAATTTTCCAGTCTGAACAATTACTTGCATCCATGTCATACTATTACATATGTATGTAATAAATATAATACACACATGTACCTGTACTTACTTTTACACACACACACACACACACACACACACACACACACACACACACACACAGAGGCAGGGAGAGAGAGATTAATTCACGTACAACTTGCATTGATCCAAAAGGTTTAGGTATTAGATTTACTAGAATATTCTCATTTATCATAATATTATTTCAACATGGTTCTACCACATGAAAACCCAAGGACCATATTATATAACCAGGGTACAACCTGCTTTGCTGTTTTTCAGAAAAGAAGAAATTAAAGACAGGAGACAGACTTACAGATTCAGGGAACTGCAGGCTTCTTGGAAGATCATTCAGAATGGGAGGAGTTTGTAAAAATTAGATATTGAAAGGGGCACAGGTTTACCACCCTGTACCCTTTCTTACCTTTGCTCATAGGCCATGAGAATGTTAAATTAAAATTCACAAAAGAAGCACCAATTGAATTGACGGCCAGAACTGTAACAGAATGTGCTTGCTCTGTCCACAGGAAAGTGAATTGAGTGTGATTTCCCACATCTTCTGACCATGTTCCATTGCGGGAAGTATGATGTTTTACCACATATTTTCTTACACTACACAATGAGTCATTTTTCATCAGAGGCTGTAGTAAACATGAAAATTGATTAGTTTAAGGGCTCCCGTGCTTTTTATATCAACCAAGCTCATGAACTCTTCTTATACGTTTCCCACTGGGAGGCAGGGGCAGACCAGGGCAAGCCCTGGCTAGTTCAAGGCTGAAGTATGGGGAGGTGAGGTAGGAGAGGGCTGGTGTCTGACAGAGACACAATGAAGTCATCGGGATGGGTATACAGCACAGGAAACTTATTTTTTTCCTTAAGACTCAGGGAATAAATCATTTAAGTATAATTAATTATGATACAATTAGGACACTTTTCTACTGAGAAGTTTCACACTAATTTTAGAGAAAAGAAAGACCGGCAGAGAGTCAAGAGTTTCCTCATCTGAAAAACCAACAACGTTCTGCTTCTGCAAAGCAACAACAAGAAAGAGCTGAAAAGATATTAATCATCACTTATGTTAACCCCAGTGTCATTTGTTATCTCTTCTCATAATTGTTGCTACTTCAAGTAACAGAGGCTATCAGAACCATGTATACGGCATCCCAGAATTTCTGCCCGATCACTTAAAAAAAAATCATACCAGATCACTGATGATTCCATGTAAAATACATATCTAGTCCAATTATGTTCTTCCATTCTACAGAGCATTGACAATACACCCCACTTCCTCCATTACTGCCACCTGTTTCAAATAAGATTCAGTGCTGCCAATGCCTTACAACCCATCGAAAACGACTCCATACAGTCGACTGGAAGTGTTTCTCCATATATTTTTTTTTTGTCATCGAGATTCCTCAAAATCAGAAATAACAGAAAAAAAAACACAAACACATACACATGTATGCCTGCGGGGTGTGGAACAATCTGGGTAGGTGGGGAGTAGAATTTTATCAGATATCATCTAGTCCAGCTCTACATTTATACAGATGAGAAAACTGAGGCTGAAGCATCTAAGCAACTTTGCCAAAATAATGCTGACCTAGCTGTAATATACTCAGCTGAGAATAGAATGAAGTTCCCTGAACTCCATGCCAGCGCATTGTAGCTCTCTGCAATCACATCTCAAAACTGAAATGAAATATTGGACTGCAGAGCCTAAAAAATGACAGGATTATGAAGTCTTTCATAAGTATAAAAATAAAATTTAAGAGTAATATAAAAAGCAGGAATACCTTCCAAAGTAAAGTAACATTTCTCTCTTTTTTAGTGGTGTCTTCATTAATTATTCTCCAAACTTCAGGTCCTCTGGTAGGAACTGCAGAAGGACAAGGAGCCCAAGTTGTACATGTGCTCTCAGAAGGAATAGTTTTTAGTCCTATTGGAAACGCACATCCTCGTGCATTTTTAAGACACATTTACAAAATCTCTACAGACCTTTTATATCTGTGACAACTGTGTAGGCTGGACTACTCCAATTGCTCCAATATCCCAGCCCATCCAGCCTCTTGCAGCGCACCTGAACAGCATAGACAGCACACAGATCTGGCACCAGGACGCTGGCAGAATTGGATTTTGCATCATGTACCTCATACATCTGTAAAATAAACTCAAGCATTAGAGTAATCATTACCAACACCTATGTAGCTGAAGGGTCCTGAAGTGCATTCTATTTAAAACCTTAATACTATTCCAAAATTAACAGAGGGCTGACTTTGTGTTTTCTGGCTACAGAAATATGTGACTTGGATCTTGAGCTCCTTCAAGTGAAGGATTATCTTAGTCATCTGTGGTCTCCTTCTCAGGCCAAGATTTGGACTGACCTACTTGCAACCTCACTCTCAGCTGTTCTCAACTCTATTACTAATTTCTGTCCACTAATCCTCTACCCACAGAAATTCTTAATAATTTTAACTGAGTGGTTACATAGTGATATCTTTGATAGTCTCTTCAATAAGATGGTAAACTGTCATATCCTTTCTGCTAAAATCATGATGATCTAAAGGCATAATTAGGGTTCCTAATATTCCTGGGTCTTTGCCGGCTGCCATCTGAAAACTGACGTGGCCTGTCACCATATGCACACTTGCCACTATGGGTGTGGTTTTAGTTGTTTGGTAAAAGCAGCTTCTTCCAAAATGTGTCCCTTTGAACATAAGTGTACTAAAGAATATTAGATGTTAAAGGAAAAAGAGTTCCTTGGTAAATTGAGTTTGAGAAACACAGAATAAAATAAAGTCACAAATATTACTTTGATGCAGGACCTATCTAAACCTTTAATATGTAACTCAGTGCAGTTCTGTACTAGGAACACACAGTGATACAGGGGTTCCTACATTTATTCATCCATGCAATCTTTTTTCAAGGAATATTTCAATATTCTGTCAAACTCATTTTGGGAAATGATGGGTTACAGGAAATGTCATAACTTTAAAGGGTTAGACCTAGGAGTGCCTGGGTGGCTCAGTCAGTTAAGTGCCCAACTTCAGCTCAGGTCATGATCACATGGTTCATGAGTTTGAGCCCCACATTGGGCTCTCTGCTGCCAGCGCAGAGCCTGCTTCAGATCCTCTGCCCCTTCTCTCTCTCTCTGCCCTTCCCCCACTCATTCTCTCTCTGTCTCTGTCTATCTCTATCTCTCTCAAAAATAAACATGAAAACAATTCTTTTAAAAAGGGTTAAACCTATAGAAATATCTACTTAACAAAAACAGCTACGGAATACAGGAAGATGTACATTTGTGCCAATAAAATAAATCTTATGCAATAAAATTCTTAAACACTTATAAGAAATAACATTTAGTGACACAAGCTGAAGACATTTCTATGTAAAATGTACCTTCCACTGTACTTCTTTTCCACTTAAGCCGTAGCGAATCTGGAATTTAAGATTATTCTCTGGAAAGACTGGCTTTTCCCAAGATATTTTCAATAATCCAATTTTTACAGTAATTTCCACTTTCACACTGGATGGAGGCAGTGGTTTCACTAGAAAATTTAAAAATAGTACTGTATAACAGTAATTTAAACAGTGAGAATATTTTTAAAACATTATCATGATGTTATAATCTTTTATACTCTATAAAGCAGTATCTCCTTCTCAAAGGAGATTAAAAAAAAATAGTACAAGTCAATGTGCAAACTCAGCATATTTGGGAACTAAAAGTCCCAACATCCCAGCACAGTAGTATGAACTCTGAAGCTCTGCACTTATAATACCTTAAGACTGTTGATGGCCAAAACCTCTAAACCTTTTCATTTCTAATGTTTCTCATGCTTATCCAATTCTTCATATATGAAGAAGACATTCTTGACCAACAGTAAGATGACATACATTTCAACTCCTGAAAAGTTAATTCCTCCTCAGAAAAGGAAGTATGAATATGTGAGAGATGCTAAGACATTCAATCTGTGATCTTACTTGACTGAATCATATGGATATCATATGGATATATTCCATGAATATCTAGTTTGCAGAAAGGATACTTTAAAGTACAAGAGTTTGCATGATCCCTACAACATGCACAGTGAGGAGGAAGGAGAAGCTTTCCACATTTTATGGGTGATAAACTAGTCACGGGGCACTTACATGTCTAGCCCATGTTTACAAAGCTAGTAACATATGGAACTGGCATTTGGATCCTAAAGTTGAATCTCCACCTTGTTTTCTAGTACTAAGTAGGCAGTATAAGCCTAACTTAAACTCCTAATTTTAGTACTGAAAAGAATAACATCAAAGGTTGTTTTGATAACATATAGAACTGAATTCATAGTGTCATATATTACATGTGAAGTTATTAATGTGTGTGTTTGTGGGGTAGAGAGTGGTAGGAGGGTTCCATGCTATTCCAAGATACTTAGTACCAGAGAAGTACTCCTTACAGTAAAATCCCTTTAAGTGGAACCAAACTAAATAGTTTGTGTGTATGCATGTGCATGTGTGTGCACATGCGCGCACGTGGGGGAGGAAATCAATTAATTGGGACTCTATGGTAATAAAAAAAACCCTAAATATTATGATTTTATCATACATTTAACAAAATATAGGTTTTAATTCAGATGCGTACTAATTATTTGAAAATATAACGAATCAAATACTGATTTTTGGCATAATTTCCCAACAAAATCGTATATAGGACCAAAGATATTCTTTTACCTCTATTGCATAATCATAAATAGGTCATTTCTCAAAGACTTTGCAGCAATATTGGAGGGATATATTATACTTTTCAATATATTCTTTCAATATATTCTTAATCCTTTGAAATCAGTGGATCTTTTTTAAGCGTATTTAAAAATATCATGATGGATATCATCTTTATTTTTTTCTTGTTCAGTGTAGTCATTTTGAATCTTTCGGTAGCCTACACAGCCTCACAAATTAAACTCTCTGGTTATGACTACTCAGATTACAAAATCCATCACAATACCCAAATTAAATTTCTAAATTAAAAACACCAAATGTTTTCGTAAGTACATTGGGAGAAAAACAAAGCAGTGCATTATTTACAATAATATTACTGCTACATTTTATTACCAATGACCAATATAACTTATCAAATTACATGCTGAAAGTATTCCTATTACAAAAACATTGTGCTATAAGTAACTTAAAAAAATAAAAACAGTAAAACTTTCTAAGGTTGATTGTCTTTTCAATTCCACTATAAACACACACAAAATTTTGTTTAAAAATAGTGTTATCTGAAAATGGTAAAACACAACAATTACCATGAATCAACCTGAATCCAAATCTGCTAATAAAAATGAAGACACACAACACAGTTTGACATACCCACAGAATCAGGAACAACACACGTTGGTGGAGAGTCAAGTGAACCCAAAGAGTGATTGATTCTAATCCACATTGTATAGCCGGACAATAGAAAGATTGGCTGAAATACGCATTCATAAAAACCATCTCTCTGCAAATGGCAATCTTTAGATTCAGATATGGGATGAATAGATGGAACATCAGAGCAGTAAAGGCTGCTCCTTAAAAGATACGAGAACACTCAGTTAATATACAACATTGATGAAAACGGTAAGATATATGAGAGAACGCCATAGATTTTATTCCACTTAAAATAGATGTTCTTATTGGAAATGCATTTTTGATTTCCCCACTGTATCACAATTTTATGTATTTCCATAAAAATGACAACAAACCTTATTAAATATTTTATTAGATACTAAATGGAAATGCAAATAAAATAATTGGTATTCCTTCTCTATGGATCCAAGTAGAGGTAGAACCTACGACACTGAAAGTTAAGTTAATATTATATTTAAGTGATTATCATTTTAAAAGTATGGATCACAAGTAGTATTGGAGCATTCCTGAGATGGGAAGGAAGATAAATCCCTTACACTTTAAATATGGATTAAATTCCACCAGAAACTGAAGACATAACTGATGACAGTAAATTATAGCTTAATTGACAATGTCCTAGTATTTTCCAGTTCGGAGCATTACAATGAAAACAATACCAATCTTTGATTTATATCTGAATCATATAAATATATAACGCATTTTCTCAGAGAAGAAAATTAAGAAAGCAATTTTTATAACTGTGTCCCGATCAACACTCTACCTCAGAACATACGAAGCATTTTTCCTTTTCTTTGAAATAGCCCTTCTGCCACTATTTGCTCTGAACATGGTATTTAAGTGGTTAAATTAGCATTTTGTTTCCATAAAAATGGAGTAAGGAGATTACAAGAAAATGAAAAACCTACATTCTTATGTTTCTCGTTCTATTTTTTGTGACATTTTGCTGCCTGTCTCCTCAAAATTACAATCATTGGGGTGTCTGTGTGTGAATGAGTGCTAGTGGGGAGAGGGGAGAGATGAGAACAAGGCATGGGGAGTCATCTGCGGTAAAAAGAACCGTGACCATGTACAGAAACACAGTAATGCTCCATTTGGAATGCAAAGGTTATATCTTTGTCATCATGACAGCAATAGCCATTTACTGAATATTTACCAGGAGAAATTCTATCACTTAACTATAATTAAATGGAATTTATCATTAATTCTCACAGAAACCTTGTAAGTCCTATTATTCACTCCATTTTACAGACAAGGAAGTCGAGGCTTAGAGAGGTTTAAAAAACTCGCCACAGTACATGCAGGAGTTTCATACTCTTCTGTAAATATTAGCGATTTAATTGAGGTACAGAGCTTATGTGATGATCATCCACAAACACCTTTTTTAATATGAAAATGTTATGGAAGGAACGTAAAGACAGATTATAGAAGTAAAATGGCATCCCATGAACATTCTATTGATTTTAAAATGCTACTATCAAGTAAGATGAAGCCAGCTATTATTCCCATGTAAGAAATGTAGAAATTGCCCCATTTTTCTACCACTACATAAGAATAGAATAGACTGGTCATGGGGTGCCTGGGTGGCTCAGTCGGTTGAGCGCCCGACTTTGGCTCAGGTCATGATCTCCCGGTACATGAGTTTGAGCCCCATGTCCGGCTCTGTGCTGACAGCTCAGAGCCTGGAGCCTGTTTCAGATTCCTTGTCTCCCTGTCTCTCTGCTCCTCCCCTGCTCACGCTCTGTCTCTCTCTCCCAAAAATATAAAACATTAAAAAAAATTTTTTTTAAAGAATAGACTAGTCACTTTAGGAACAGAATTCAGATCACAGTATTTGAGGACGGGGATTTGTTTTTCACGTAGAAAATTTAGATTTTAAGAATAAATGAGTAGGGGCGCCTGGGTGGCTCAGTTGGCTATGCGTCTGACTTCAGCTCAGGTCATGATCTCACAGTTCGTGAGTTCAAGCCCCGTGTCAAGCTCTGTGCTGACAGCTCAGAGCCTGGAGCCTGCTTCGGATTCCGTCTCTCACTCACTCTCTCTCTCTCTCTCTGCCCCTCCCCGGCTCATGCTCTGTCTCTCTCTGTCTCAAAAATAAAAATAAAAACATTAAAAAAAAAAAAAAAAAAGAAGAAATGAGGACAAGGGAGACAAACTGGAAGGCCCCAGTATGAACACAAATTGAGACAGCGTGTTTGAGAGCAGTATATATCACTGAAAACTACTAAGAGAGATTATAAAAATAAAAATGTATCTACCTCCTCCTAATCAAGAGTTCTATTACTTCAGATGACACTACAGGAAGATGATGTCTTGGAATCATTTCAAAACAGGGAAGCACAAAAATAAACAAGCATAAATTACTCTTTATCATAACACTTCACTCCTTATTAAGCATTTCTTTCCTAATCTTTCCTACTTCTGAAAGCATTCATATTATCTCTTAGAATCTTTGTGCAACAACCTCTGACTTTTTTCCAAGATATTTATCTTTAGCAAATGATACTGGACCTCTATAATCATGGATATTCTCCTCTGGCCAATTCTCTAAGTCAAACTAAAATGTACAGAAGCCAATTCTTCCTGGATTTCATTCAATAATTAAAAGGCAATTATGGAAAATTAACTGATTATCAGAAAAATAATTTGAGGTAAAAACAAGTTATATTTTTTCTACCAATGTAAATTTTTTCAAAAATCACCTAATCCCTCAACAATTTCCTAAGTATATAGTACCTTCCTCTATTAGGAAGAACGTCTACTAGACTACTGTTCTGATGATATTTCTATAAAAAGTTTTATCTCACCATATCCACAGAATAATAACTCAGCAAAAATAATACATACCTATGATACCTCAACTGCAAAGTACTTCCCACGAGTGATTGGATTGCATTGGTTGACCATCTGCAAGTCATTTGAGTTAAGTACCCATCAGTTTCACATGATATATTGATATCGACATCTATTTAAAACACATTAAAATATTAATACAAAGCAAAATCACCACACATTTTTTAATGAAAATAAAATTTCCTTACATTATCAATGGGACTCTAATATAGGGTCCATAATAAAAATCTGTCTGTGGAAGGAAATGAAGGGAAGTTCAGTACTCTTACCAATCACATATAATTCAGCATAGCGATGGTGGCATTCACGCTCGTTGCAGCAGTATATTGCGTCGTAGGTAAACTTCCCTCGAGGTTTGGTTGCCTTCAAACTGCGAAAAGTAACTTTGCTAACATGGTCACCCACGACATGATACTGGCTTTGAGGAATTTTCTCAGCTAAATTCATCCACCAAATAATCTTTTTTGAGGAAACAATCTTGTTTTCATTTTTATAAATGCAGTGAAAAGAAACGTTAGACCCGACACTTGTCAGAATTTTAGGTGGAAAGTATATGACATCTGCAATAAGAGAAGAAAGGGAGGATATCAGATGAAGAACAAAAACATCCTGTATGGAATTTATGCTACATAGAGAAGATTCACAATGCAATCAGGATCACACTGCCAAAAATAAAATGAGTGCACTAAGAGACTGTATAACTTGTACTGCCTGCTTACGTACAATTCTGTAGTATCCAGGCATTCCCATTTCCAAATCACTTGAACTTCCAAAAATGTCTATTTTCTTTTAAAAAAATTTTTAATGTTTTATTTATTTTTGACAGAGAGAGAGAGAGAGAGAGAGAGAGAGAGCATGAGTGGGGGAGAGCCAGAGAGACAGGGAAACACAGAATCTGAAGCAGGTTCCAGGCTCTGAGCTGTCAGCACAGAGCCCAACGTGGGGCTTGAACTTATGGACTGTGAGATCTTGACTTGAGCCAAAGTCAGACACTCAACCAACTGAGCCACCCAGGCACCCCTGTCTCAGTATTTTCTAAACATAGAAATTTATTACAAAGTGTATTTAGTGAGTAATTGTCACTTGCTAATTGACAGGCAGAAAATCAATTTAAATGAAATATAACCTAATTCCACAATGACATGTTTTCATCAGACTGTGCCTTATGAATCAGTGAAACCTAGGCTGAGTTCTTGAATCAAATCACTGTAAAGGCAAAATTCTGAAGAATAAATGGTGGTTGCTATTGTCTCATTTGGATATATGAAAATTTCAATCAGCAGGTAAAGCTGAAAAATAAGCTTTAAATAAGAGAACTGGTTAGGGACAGGGCACCTGGCTGGCTAAGTTGGTTAAGCATCCAACTTTGGCTCAGGTCATGATCTCATGGTTTGTGAGTTCGAGCCCCACATCTGACTCTATGCTGACAGCTCAGAGCCTGGAGCCTGCTTCAGATTCTGTGTTTCCGTCTTTCTTTCTCTCTCTCTCTCTCTCTCTCTCTCTCTCTCTCTGCACCTCCCCTGCTCGCTCTCTCTCTGTCTCTCACTCTTAAACATTAAAAAATAAATAAATAAATAAATAAATAAATAAATAAATAAATAAATAAAGAGAACTAGTTAGGGAATGTAAAATCAACAATGCCCCAATGCACCAAAACAGGTAAACCTTAAATACTGGTCTGTAATGTTTTAAAGTTATTTAATGCCAGTATGCTGTGGTTAAGGATAAGAGGAACCAATATTTTTCTAAAATATTATTATTTTTTAATGCCTCTACACTATTCCATACTACTTTTTTGGTCCCCTATTGTTGGAAACAATATATTTTTATTTTTAATAAAATAATCTATTGTTTACATAATGTTTATATATTTTTATTTTTAATAAAAGAATTTATTATTTAATAAAACAATCTATATTTTTAATTAGAAACAATAAAAGTGATTGTTTACATAAGAAGAAATCATTTCTGCCACAGTGCATTACAAAAACAGTGTATTTCAGTTGTACAATTCACAATAAGACATTTTCTTCTGAGAGAATATGAATATGTTTCTATTCATATCATCTGGATTACCCCCAAAACAAAAACGAAAACCTTCATTGATTTTTATTATTTTATATCATCTGGATTACCCCCCAAAAACAAAAGTGAAAAACTTCATTGATTTTTATATTTAAGTTTTTTCTTTTTTGCAATAGCGGGCTAAACTCCATGGCCTTTGTATTTAGAATCCAAACAAAACATTTGTATTTTGTACGTTTGCAGTCAAGCATAAACAAGAAAAAAACTAGTAGCATGAAATCACTAGACAGAAGACAGTCCATTAGATTTTTAACCCTAGCCTAGGATGGCACTCAAGCTTCGTTAGTACATTACTTACTGCACGCAAGTACCTAGCACAGATCTGAAAAATCATTAACCTATTTTCAATATGCTCCACATGTCATTACTGAATGGCTTCAAAACTTTAAGAGTAATTTATTTTTTTAAAGAGTACACATTAGATTTCAAAAGCTAAGCTGAATCTTTTATGTTTAAAGATAATGAAAAACTCAAACCATTTCACTTCAAAATTGAATGCCTCAGTAAGGCTTAATCAAGAAATGCAGTTAAAGTCATAATATTTTGGCATGATTAAATACTAAGATATTAGCTTACAAAAAAGAAAAGCAGGTTATTAAAAACCTGATGATGTGTAAAGTTTACATTGAATATACAGAAATTGATATGAAGTAAATTAATATTTAATTTTTAAAATAATATAAATATATATTTTATTCTCATGTAAGATACTCCACAACATTTAATTTGTAAAACGAGAAAATAATTTTCTTCTGATGACCAGGTACCAATACTTTTGTAAGGTCTAAAATAATGAATTTCATTAAAAGAGGAAAATCTTTTGATAAATATTAGTGAATTACCTACATGAACATAAATCATGAATCAAAACATTACAGTTAAAGTTATTTTACAATGTGTTTATTATAGCTCCAGAAAATAGATTTTTAAATTTTCAAAGCAGACTTCCTATTTTCCTTTGAGGGGAAAATATTTTCTCTAGCACATTATAAGCACTGCCAAGTATGAAATGAAGAAATTATCTGTTTCTCCTCTTCTTCGGCAGCACAAGAATGTAATTAAGAAAGGTACTACAAGAAGTGAGCACTTCTAAACTTGTTTTAAGCGTGTGGCGTCGTAACTCAACTGCAACATTGTTAGCCTTCCTAAGTTCTGCGAGGGTCCTGGGTTTTCTTCTCAAAGTCCAAGGTCTCCCAATAGCTACAAAGAAAGAACCTAGCCAATTCATTTTCAAAAAATCTGTAAGAATTCCTTGATTAGAAATGGTCAATGCTTCATTAACTGTGTACTTGGTAGGTACAGCTTTAATAAATCAATGACTACAAAATAGTAACTATAAAGGTACTGATAATGAGCATTCTGTTTGCTCCAGCAACAATACATCAGACAACCTCTGTTAAAAAAAGAAAAATTGGGGCGCCTGGGTGGCGCAGTCGGTTAAGCGTCCGACTTCAGCCAGGTCACGATCTCGCGGTCCAGGAGTTCGAGCCCTGCGTCAGGCTCTGGGCTGATGGCTCAGAGCCTGGAGCCTGTTTCCGATTCTGTGTCTCCCTCTCTCTCTGCCCCTCCCCCGTTCATGCTCTGTCTCTCTCTGTCCCAAAAATAAATAAACGTTGAAAAAAAAAATTAAAAAAAAAAAAAGAAAAATCAATAAAATCCAAAGTGTTTGGAAATGATAAAGCACATGTGCTAATTCACTCATGCTAAATAAGTTAATGCCTCAAACTTACAGAATGCTTCTGTTTGGTGGATGTCATTGTAGCACCTAGCAGTGAGCAACAGAAGATAATCTAATAATATTAAATACCTCGATTTAAGGGAGAAGGATCCAAATCCTTTTACATAAGAATAGGAAGCTCCCGAGTTTGGAGAAACATACTTCACTGATGCACAGCACTCAAGAACAAGCCTCAAGTGCAGTAAGCACCGTGAGGTGTGGAAAGTGCTGTGAAGGCAAACTCAGCAAAACTAAAACTTGAACAACCTAAGCAACACTGAAACCTCGTTTATCAGGAACCATGAAGGAAATGAGAGGTCCCACTAAAATGCTCGATGTAAGTTTACTGCTTATTAGTTCCCAGTATCAATTTTTAGTGACACCAGAAATCTTGCATAAATATACATCATGCACTTAATCACTGTATTAGTGTGTACAAACATGAGCGCTGGGATTGGCCTGCCAGCTCTAGATTGTGCCAACTTTTACAAGTTACTTAACCTCTCTAAATCTCGACTGCTCTGTTTGCAAAAAGGGAGTATCAGGGAGACATAGGTGAATACCGTATCTCACAGGGCATCAAAAGGATAAAATGATAATACATGTAAAGCACTTAGAGCAGTGCTTGAAACACAGGAAGTACCCTGTAACTGTCATTACTATGATTATTATTATTATTATTATTATTCAGTAGGGAAGTATGAACCTAATTGTACCTTTGATTTATGATTTAGCACCCATCATTACATCATTACAGAAGATGATACTGTAACACAGAAATGTGCTTGGGAGCTACTGAAGTGTGTAGGCTTTTCTCCCCACTCTTGGTGACCCTAGTCTACTTTCTATTTGGCAAGTTTCTATCTTTCCCTTAATATTTACCTGGTACCACTCACTGGCAACTAAGCCATCCAAGTCTGTTAAACTAGTAAGCTACTTTTACACTTATTGCTAAATCAACAAATTCTGCCCATTGGGGCAGCTGTTTACTCACTGTCTGGCTTTATTTTTAACTTATTTTCAGACATTTCTGTTTGGGATGTCTAAAGTCACTAAAGGGATACACCTGTGGTGAATAAGTAAAAGGATAGGTGTTAATTGTAATACTGTTAGAGACTGTACAAGTAAATAAATTGGTAAAGTTTCTTCTCAACAAAACATATCTTTATTACTGTCAGGTACACAAAACACTAAATATATGCAGAGGGAAGGGCATATATATGCCTATGTGTGTGTTTTATAATACATATTCATAAATCTTATTTATATTATGCACGAAAGCATAAGAATGTGGCCCAACATATTCGAAACCAAGCAAATTTAATCCTGCACATAATGACCATGAACTAAGAAAGTAATAGTAGTATGAAAGGATTTTGCACAATGTAAAACAGAACTAAGCCTATGTCCATCCAAAGGTCTAAAAAAACTGACCTGAACAATCTAAAACAAAATCTTACATGAAATATAACACAAATAATTATCACATCATAATCGATCAAAATGTTCATTTTAGGGGTGCCTAGGCAGCTCAGTCGGTTAAGCATATGACTTAGGCTCAGGTCATGATCTGACGGTTCATGGCTTTGACATGAATGTGCTGACAGTGGGGAGCCTGGAACCTGCTTCGGACTCTGCATCTCCCTCCCTCTGCCCCTCCCCTGCTCTCACTCTGTCTCTCTTTCTCTCATAAATAAATAAATAAATAAATAAATAAATAAATAGAGAGAAAGAGAGACAGGGAGTGAGAGCAGGGAGGGGCAGAGGGGAGGGAGATGCAGAGTCCCAAGCAGGTTCAGGCCCCCACTTAAGCCCAACATTCCACAAGTCAGCCAAGGAACCGCCGATCATGACCTGAGCCTAAGTCATATAAGCTTAACCGACTGAGCTGCTCAGGCACCCCTAAAATGAACATTTTGATCGACATGATGTGAGCAATTATTTGTGTTATATTTCATGTAAGATTTTGTTTTAGATTGTTCTAGGTCAGTTTTTTTTAGACCTTTGGATGGACATAGGCTTAGTTCTGTTTGTTGATTGTGCAAAATCCTTTCTTTCATACTACTATTACTTTCTTAGTTCATGGTCAGGCTTATGCAGTAGATTAATTTGTTTTTGGTTTCTAATATATGTTAGCCACATTCTTATGTTGCAAGGCATAATATAAATAAGATTTATGATTATAGATGAACACACATAGGTACATATATATGCCCCCTTCCCATATATTTAGTGTTTTGTGTACCTGACTTCGTAATAAAGATATGTTTTGTTGAGAAGAAACTTTTACCAATTTATTTACTTAAAGGAAGTCTCTCTAACAGTATTAACACTATCCTTTACTTTGTTTATTCACTACAGGTGTATCCTTCTTTAGTGACTTTAGACATCCCAAACAGAAATGTTCGAAAAATAAGTTAAAAAATAAAGCCAGACAGTGAGGTAAACAGCTGCCCCAATGGGCAGTAATTTGTTGATTTAGCAATAAGTGTAAAAGTAGCTACTAAGCCAGACTTGGATGGCTTAGTTGCCAGTGAGTGGTACCAGGTAAATATTAAGGGAAAGCATAGAAACTTGCCAACAGAGTAGACTAGCTCTCAAGAGTGGGGAGAAAAAGCTTCAAA